GAACGCAACTCCATGGTCATCAGAGTAGTATATAGGACGCACCAGTCGATAAGAGTACTACACCTACGCGAACATTACTATACCACGCAGTCAACCCATGAGTAAATTTATAACAGTCTGGCTTTTTTTAATTCTAACTTTATTGAGGCAACTTGGGTTCTGTATGACAAACCACAAAACACGGCTAAGCTCACGAAATATGCAATATGTGAGATAGTGTCGTGAACTGTTATTCAAGTGCGCACAATCATTGCATAGTAATAAGATTAAATGCTCAAGAACTTTTATTTCGACCGTGAGCAGTTAGCAACGCTTCCCTCTAAACCGTCGTTGTGGCGTTCCATGGAGACACTGGGATGTGGACTATTAGTAAATCGAAGGGTTAAAAAGAGTATGTCTTAGCACGTTCGCTGTCTGAAAATCGCCTCCACATACACTGCCTAAACATTGCGTATTCTCTTTTATCGATATAGAGCTTTCTTGCGAAATTGGTATCATTTTCTACTGGCACAAACTTAGAACAAGCATAGACATCAGGATTTATTGAATTCAATTAGTCTCGCGATAGCTTTTCGATTGAAAACCGTTGCTGCATGAGTCAGATAACGAAAGGAAGCAAACGGCATGTCGAATTTTCACACAAAATCAACGCATAACAGGGAGGGTCATAGTTCAGTTTAAATAATGATCAGATGGATGACACTACATCAAATCAGCATCTACGAAGAAACAACGGGAGGGGAGTTAACGCAAACCTGATTAAAACTAGGTGCCCAGTTAATAAGGCAATTAGAGTTTGACCACACGGTCTCGCTGCTTGCATAGATTGGATTTCTCCCGCCGTATGTAGGCCGCTTACAAGTAGCGCGAGGGTCGATTTGTTCTTGTCCGAACATGTACCCGGACAGAGGTCGCTGCCGGCAATACTATCTGCCTACAACCAACTATTAGGACAGATGAGTTCCTTTAACGGTCAGGTGAATGTTCATCAACGAATGTGATCACTGTTTAGCAGGTGTTTTTTAATCGATTAATGTGGTATTCTACCTTATTGCTTGAAAAGCCAATTAGGCAAGTGTTCAGTGGCCCTGACTGCCAGTTGCTTAGCGTCTGCCCAATGCACTTGCATCCGCAAATGCACGTGAACTCGTAGACACGATCTGGGGTGGCGTGCAACGACAAGGCTTCCTTTGCCCTTTTTATTGGAACGCTTTTTTAAGTAGGGCTAAGGAAGACGAGCTCAGGTGCACTGTACCTCTTTTTTATGGTACAGTGCTACAGTGGTTTGATTATATTCGAAATATGATCACCCTTAAAGTATGATTATGTAAAGAGGGGTTTTTCAGGATTAACTTCTGCCCACATTTGGCCTTTAAATAATGCTACACGTTTGAATGAAGCGTGCAGCATATCCACGGTTAAGTAGGGCTGCTTTAATGCGGGAAATCTTTTCATCCAGGTCTCACTAAAGCAAATATTCCTCGTTCTTTGAATGAAAGTATGTATCAGACTTTACTTCCATTGTATTGGCACAAAGCAAGTAGTTATTGCCCTTTTCATGTATTTTTCGTGGAACCGAGCCCCCCACTGAACCATCATCCTTTCTAAACATGAGGATGTGTGAGAAAGGTAGCCTGTAAATTGTAAATTTAATTTTCGAATGTAAGTTATTCATACAATTAAGGAGATCATTTGCGGTTTCTTTGGAATCAGCGTTCGTCAATATATCCTCCACGTATCTTCTATAGAATTTAGTGATATTAAGTTTTGAAGACACCTTTACTTCTAGGTGACCCATAAAAACCTTGACGAATGTTGGCCCCAGAGGACGTCCCATTGCGAATCCCTCCATTTTTCTGTAGAGTTGCCCATTAAACAGATGATTAAAATGTTTGCTTGACGCAGAATTTCGTCCAAAAGACGGCTGGACACAAAAAACCTATCATTTCAGGTATCATGCATTTACATTCTATTCGTTATCCAAGTCATGCAGTGACGAGATGGAGTCGAAAAGTCGTCGCAAAATTGACTGAATTCGATAACTTCTGCTGCCTATGTTTGTTTAAAATCTAGCCAGTGTTTGTAATACATGAGCCAAGGTGGCTTAATTAACGTAAGTTGAAATGATAGACTGACCTGACGACCAAAGAACACACCAATCTGATAATATTTTACGAACAAAGATTGGCATGACTTATTCTAGTTAGATTACGTTCACCGGCCGGCGATATCCGGATCATGGATTTAAAACCGTCGATTTGAACCACGGGCTACAGTTTGCAGTCGGTGGACTTCGTTGACCAGTTGGATTCGTATGACGCAACACTGCATGTTGGCAAGATTGCCTTAAACCAGTAAGACCTCCAAAGACCCAGGGATGATAGCGGATGAAGTTTAAAGGTATCCCAACCTAGGCTAAAGACCCCTTAGGTTAGTGTAGAACAGGGGTCGAGAACGTATGGCTCGCGAGCCAGATGTGGCTCTTTTGATGATTGCGTCTGGCTCTCTCTCAGATAAAATTGGAATTAGACACTTCCGATTTTGTGATTATGGTTTCTCCAATGAGGCTTATTATACTCAA